TTCAGTAATGTGGCCCAAGTTTTCAAAATTGGCTTCTTAAATTTTTAAAAACTTTTAAATGTTGAAAAGGAGTTACTGAAAGTCGGATTCATCCGTGTGTGACGACGGGATACAGAATTATAGACCGTGAGCAGGTCCTTTAGTCGCCCCAAATTTTTAAGTCTTTCCCCCATCACCACAGCTTTCTTTGTTGACACAATGAATGAGTGATTTATATTCATTTAAATAAAATTGAATAGGAAGCAGGAAGGCAGCGGGCGTACACCGACTGTCTTCAGTTAGCGGTAAGCGGTGGTTCGATAGAGCCCTGAGGTATTAGGATAGTGATTAAGAAATCTGTTTGGGATTGCCGAAATCATTTATCATTTTGGGTGTCCATTGCCTACATTTGTATCAGCACATGTTGTTTTTGGTGCTGTCATCTCCTTGATCTTTGAGGTTTCATATGCTTGATCCACATAGGTGTCAAACGATAACGATTGACACTGTCATGAAACATCTAACACGGAGCTAAGACTAAGTAGTTGGGGTTAGTCGACTGAATAATCACCGAAATTTCATTCTAAATATACTTTTGTCTGGTAAGCATATAAATGAAATTTAGTAGGAACTTGCAGTATGACTCAGCTATGCATTCATGGCACGGGTTCGTTCTTTTGATATCTCTAAAAAAACGCTTCAGAATAACCGGTGTATATGGAATTGATATAGGTCACTTGCTCAAAGGTGCTTTATACCTACAAAAGATACTAAGAATGCTTTACAAAATTATATGTTGATTTTATACATGGCAATGCGGACTTTTAGCAATATAGGGGCAATATATAAGCGTTGGTATGTATAACTTATGATGAATTAATGCAGCATTAATGCATAATATAGTGCATACTTTTCCGTCAACTGAGCATGATCATTGTCATTTTCTTACGCACAAGCGGCGCAGTAGCATATCCTTTCAGCAAAAATCGGCCCAAAGAAACCGCTATATCTTTTTTTAATCGGAATTCTACCGTATATTCAATTGGAACTGTTGAATGTGAATTTATATACTTACATTTATATTTTAACGTTATTTATTTTAATATGCAACTAGCTATTGCCCGCAAACGTTTAGCTATGTGAATAGGCTTTACCAATATGGCATTATGTATTAACTATGCATAGCAGTGCATGTTTTTCACTCAATTTCACAATATGTTATCAGGTATTATCATGCAAAGGTTATACATTAATATTCCAACTTCTTGCATAGAGTCCTTGTACCGAAAGATGGAACTAAAACTTGCATAAAATATTCTTATGGTTTTTTTCAGTGTAAATCCAAACTATTCTCAAACTGTGCCTTTTCCCATGATTTCTCTTATACTGCTTACAGAACATTTTGTGCTCATTAGGAATTTTTCATTGTTTGGTGCATAGAACGCGTAAGTAAGAAAATAATCTTCATAAAAATTTATTACTAAAATTTTTGAATTCAACGTAGGTGAAAAATAATATTCATAGTAGATATATTAGCCATTGCAACGCCCTTCGATTTTTATACGCCAAGCTTTCCAATGAGAGAAATATTATTTTTGGCTAATTTTTTAAAAATCCCTTTTGATATGGACCATAGCAGTACAGGATCATATTCGCCATTCATTGATTTTTGCGATGCAACATTTTTGTGAATAATTTTCACATGGTAAAATATATAAAATCTTTACTTTATTTCTTTCATTATTCTATGAATATTCCGGTGTGAATATACCAAAATTTAACTGAGGAAACCCGAAATTAGAGTACATTCAAATTACAAAGCTGTCTATGCCAGTATATGGTCCTCTATTAATATGTTACGATACCAATTTTTACAAAGTTTTGTTTTTCTGTGCATTTTTACGTTGTAGGTGAACTTTCCCAAACCTGCAAGTAATGATTCCAAATAAAGTGAAAGGAAATAATCGTTACGCCATTGCGGCCGATAGAACGCATTTCTAACCTCTCGTTTCGTTCGGGTAGAAACGCATTTCCGTGTACAATAACATAAAATAGCATCATTGCGACGGTCAACAAAATGATTTTGACTCATGCGCTTTATAATCCTGGCCTTCGCCTTCTACAATTCGTCATTCCGCATTCATCAGCTTCACTTTTTCCATCTTAGGCGTAGAAAATACAATTTAGCTGATGGTTTTTGTTTCATTGTTCCATCACTTAACGGCAAATATTGGTCCATAATTTTTCTTTGTGGTATCAAATAATTAATGCTACACTGAGACAAAAAAATGGTTGTTCGAAGGATTCATTTTCTTAAGAGGAGTTGGTATTTTCATTCAAATCTTATTTTTGAACCGAGCAGGAGATGTCGATTAGGTGTTAATCATGGTAATGATGTAGCGTTAGAGAATGGTTACGTTGGCTATCACCTTCAATTAACTCTCTCTAGGATATTTCCGGGTTGTTGGGATGGGGTTCTTCACTGCTATGGAATTAGTTTCGAGTCGAAGGCGAGAACTGACCAACCACATGTGTGAAGAAAACCCCATCCAAAAGCCCGAACAATATTTTTCTGTAGTGATTTTCAAGTTTTTTCCACATTTCTGTGACTTCAAAGGAGTCGTTGAATAGGATTGGGATTGGGTGGGAAGGCGAACAGGATAATGCTCGATATAATTGTTACAAACAAAATTACTGAAAAAATGGATAGTCCAGACCGGGGTTTGCCAAAAGAAAAATCGTGAAAAGCAGTACGTACAAATAATTATCGATATTGAAGGAAATTAATAATAATCAGTGGAATATATCCGAGGACATATTCGACAAAATCATCCTCTAAGGGGATGTGATGATTATTATCACGACCTTTTTGAAATTGCCAAGAAAAATGACTTGATAAAGACAAATCGACTCTGAACAAATGGGTCCTTGACCAGAATTTTTTTTCTCCGGGTACACCTTACCTCAGATAACATCGCTCCGCCTATAAAACCGCGCGTTATCAAATAAACAAACATTTCCATGAATCATACAAGATATAAAAACACTAATAATCGTACTATTTTCATTGCTACGAAAATTATGTACCATTGCATTCTTTTATAGGTGGTACGCAATTTGAATAGAGTGTCAGAGCTTGGCGTGGCCGCTGCTATAACCATCAGTGAGAATTTTATAATTTCAAAGCAGTCCTTATAAGTCTCTAGCCCATCTAAGTTGAAAGAACTCGAGGATTATCATGATTAGATGCAGATATCAAAGAAATGATAAGGAACAGAAATACTAAAAATCGGAGGGATAAAAAAAACCATGTCTCTACTAGAAACATTAAACGATACTTCTGTACTACACCAATCTTGCACATAATTGTATTTCCATGCGATAATGTATTACATAACACTTGATTATCGGTTATCTTGTTGTGGAGGTAGGAGAGTTACAGAATATGGCATAATGCAGGCGCCACTGTACGAGACATGGAGTGCATATCAAGTGCAGTGTGAAAGCAAAACCCCTTTCTCTGAATATATCCCTCCATCGCGTTCGCTTGGTGCTATTCGCGTTCTGCGTATTATGTAGGCGTGGTGCAGGGAATGGAGTACGAGCAGCGGCCCGCGATTCTCGCCTCTTACTCTATCTCTATACACAAGGGAAAATTTCATGACAGTGGTGGCATGCAACAAGTGTACGCCTGAAAATTCCATATAGAGGGGAAGTAGATAATATTCTCATGCTCAGCTTGGCAATATTTGTATTCGTCGAGTATATACAAACATTCTCCCCAACTTTTTTCTACTCATTGATATTTTTATTTCATACATCTGGCAGCATGGTTCGTGAATATTTATAAATTCCTACACGCGCGAACATTTGTTATTATTACTTAATTCAGTTATTTTATCTCCGAGAAAAATGTGAGCAGAATTCATCAGTTTTTTTTAATAAAGAAATATCACTTATAGTTCTGCCGTATTTTTTTATTTGGCCTGTAAATTTCGTGGTATCGTATCGTAGTAAACATACATTTCACACCGATATATTTTGAAACTAGAAAACTGATGTTGAATTTCATTTTTAATTCAAGTTTCACAAGCTGTTGATTGTCATTGACATTGTCATTTTCTTAAAGAATGTGTGGTATGACTCTGCTTTGGATATTTTGTAGAATTTCTGGAAAAAAACCCTTTTTTGACCAGCACTTTTCCATCAATATCTACACGGAGAAAAGAGTCATATAAAGAGTCGGGAGACCTATACGAATATTCACACTTAACACGAATGGCTATAATTGAAGAAGCCGTGCTCGTTATAGTAATTATATTTAGATGCTGTAGTAATGCTTACTATACGGCATGATAAGACTCAATGGTAATAGCTTTGATCGATATAGTAAAAAATCCCGTAGTTGGCTGGTACAACTTACCATAGGTATATGGAGACGATTTTGAGACGTTTTTTGATAATTGTTGATGATGAAAGGGTTGGAATAATGAACTATAAATCAGGAATTTTCACTCATACTTGGTATTATTGTGAAGCATTCTGGACAAGGTAAATCATAAGTGAAGTATATAATTGTCACATCAATGAATATTACCATTCTTTTATCGAGATTCATAAAAAGAAGTTCTTGATAATTGTCGTTAATGTATACGGGTCACCAGGTACGAAGGAACGATGGGATAAGGATTCGATCAGACTTGATTCAACATGGACCAATGTTGATTAAGCCTGGGCACTGACGATTGGAACAATCTATGATGAATATTGAAAAATGACTAAGTGTCCGAGGCTGGATACTCCAGCCTCGATCGGGCCTTGACTTACGAGCCTCAATCGAACGTTTGTTCTACGATTGGATACAAGCCTACACCGTAAATCTGTACCGAATATTTGTCATCAAGACTCGATCAATTCTTAATTAAAAACGAATTATATTCATGAAGGCTTCGCTTTATTTTCATCTTTTTGTATCTTTCGACGAACTATAACAGACTGCGTATAATTAACTTAAAAAAAAACTCAGTGCATTATAAAATTATCAATGTAAGTATAACAATAATAACTGCGCTATAACTATCGCTCCTCTATGGCCCTCCTCTCTCTTCCTTGTCTATTCTTCTTCGAGATAAAAGTTATTTCTGTTTTCCCCCAGCCTGGGATAGGTGATTCCCAATGTACGAACTGATATCCATCGTAATCGAGGGAAATTTTCTCAACAGAAAATCTGTAATCAAGAAAATTTACATTGAAATTTCCCATTGTACACAGACACGAAGGACATAAATCGTTTTTTTCTCACCTCTCAGGCACTCATAATTGCAGGTCTTGACGAAGGGTTTTTTCTGGCTGTTTTCCCTGACCACTGTAAAATTTCTGAACATCTTTATGGAGCATATTGTTAATGCATTTCCTCACACAATCATTCCATGTATCTTTCGAACCAACCCATCCTCGAAACGAACTCACCTGAAAAATTCAAGACTCACATTTTTCTCTAACAACAAAAAAAACATTGCCTCCCTTTTTATCTTATAATGAAGAATTGTAATTAGTGGTGAGTTATAATAATTATCAATGCTTTTTTTCTCCTTAATTCGTAGACGATAACGATCTCTCGAAAGTTAAGAAATCTTCGTGAGTTTGAATTGGGAAGGTAGCCTTGAATATCTCAGACATGAGTTGTCGCCCTGATAAATCATTACCGCCTCGATCTTCGGAATTTGTCGCGAAAACGATTTCATTCACAATTTTGAATGTTTTGTTTAAGTCCTAGAGGATGCTCCTCTTCGAGTTTTTTATTTTTTTCAGAAGTCTTTCGTTGTCCATTTCGCGTTGGAGATCAATATAACGGATTAAGTCTTGTGTCTGGGGATCCATACGCCTGAAAATCTCCTTCATCTCCTTGGATTTATAGTTCAGTGACGATTTCTCAGATTTGGTGGGAGAGTTTTTGGAACGGTAATCTGCGTAAAAACAAATTAAAAAATGTTTGAATTAAAGTTCAATCTTAATTAATTAATGAGGATTATGTGAATCTGCCGAAAAAAATATTCAGTGTGCGATAAAATCATCACTCAGGAAATAATACATACCTGCACTCGGCTCATCCTCTCGATGTCTTCCATCACGCACTCCAGGTCGACGTGATTGATCATGAGATCTGTTCGATCTCTCTTATCTTTTGTGGATGTGATCTCTACGAGGAGTGGAGCCATTTTTCTGCGATATCTCGTCGTGGTTTTCGGGTAAGTTGGCATCCTCAGAAATCTGTCTCCTAAAATTTTGGCATCTCTTGCCACGATATGTACCTCGGCGTTGCTGAATTTCCAGCCCAGACAGACTGTCGGTTCTACGTTCTCGTGAGAATTCCCTCTCGAGAAGTCTTCGCCTTCCCATGACACTTGTATCTTTCAGCTCTTTACCTAGAAAAGAGAATGATTGTTCCAAAAAATTCGAAATGAAAGTACACCAATCCAGAATCAATTATATACTTTTACTTACACCCAGCAGCTGAGATGATAACCTTGCAGGCGTTCTCTCCTCGTCGATTCGGCTTCCTTTCTGCGAGTGGCGTGGGAGAGTAGTCTGTCGCATAATTCTACTCTTTGGCAGACCGGCCTTCTTGATAGATGTGTGTTGTTCAGTCTCTTGGCAGGCATCATCAAACTTGTTAGGATCGAATAAATGATTCTCCTGAAGATACCCCCAATTTTTATCTAAAAAAAATGTGTTTCTGATGAAAATTATCAAGCAAGAAGGGGTTTACTAGTATCAAGAGAACTGCTAATGATAGCAGAAAAAAATGGTTCAAAAATGGACGTATTAATATTCATTGAATTGAATGCTCCAGTTTTTTTTGCGATTCATGTATCTCAAGTGGGTGAAGTCTTTGGACGAGTCAATTGAGTTGGAGGAGTAGCACCGTACATGGACGCATATCTCACTGGAACGCTATCGCTCTTCGGTGGTGAAGTAGAACATACATCATCGCGATTTTTACGCTGTGAGCCTCGTGCTATCCAGTCTTCATCTGTAAAAAGAATTAATCAGTGAAAAAATATTGCAAACTTTTTTTTCTTCAAATTATTTGAAAATTCTCTTGAGGCTGGATAAGAATCTCGTATAGTTATCAAATAGAATGAACTTTCAATCTATTCGCCATCTGATCGATTCTCGTTCTCCTCATCTTCACGCACCGGGCAGTATTTAAACAATGCTGCCATGAGTATACGTTTGGCATTGCCTTTCGATATTGTTCTGATCTAATCACGTCCATAACTATCTGAATCAGAAGACTTTAAGTTCGTTTCTTGTTGATATGAATGCTCCAGACGCCTCATTCCCTGCTCGTAGCTCTCTATTCGTGAACATACGGCCTGCAATTCCTCTCATTAGTTATATGTGGGAAGGGCCAAAAACAAATCCAAATTGGGGGATATTTTACCTGCTTCCTCGATTATTGTAACGTTCGAGTACTTGATCCAATTCTGTTCCTTTGAGAGAAAATCATCGAGCTTTGGTCAATCTTTCTTAAGTGCATAAAAACACGAAATGTCATCCTTCTCAAATGTAAGCCAGGAGAAGCAAACCAAATCGACTGAATTTTTTCCTTTTTTGGATTCATTTTCAAAACGTATATTATAGTAGGGAGCAGGCCCAGCTTTGTTCTTTGGTGGCATCTTTTTCAAACTGACTTCAACGTCGGGAAGAGGAAATCTACGATAGGAAATGGATATCCAAATGAAACACTATCTACACTATCGCACACGTGCACATAACTCTGGTACTCGAGTAAACTCATCACTAAATTTGCGCATAAATGGGTTATCATCACACGAACGATTAGAATATTTTTATCATCTTTTCGGCTCGAAATTAACTACAATTATTTTTTCCAACATTATTTATTCCAACATATTGATAACCAATGATTATTTAATTTTTCTTGTAGAACTAATTATCACGTTAGCAATGATCTCCCAAAACCATAAAAAAATGTGAGTACGATTTCGATTCACGTGTTATGAATCATAACAATTGAGAACGCATCAGGAATAACTGGCGTCTGTCTCGACAGCGCATCGATCGGTGTGGCTCGATCACAACAATTTTTCCTGGTGCTATATTTTTGCCAACTGCTTCATTAGAATATATCTTGGAGTTAAAATTAAGGAACAAACACATGTATTTCACCTTTTGATCGATAAATTTCTACTCTTTTATATCCAAGAACCCGGACTCTAGGGTAAGACTTACCAAGCGTGGCCTAGTCGTAGGTTGCGGTCACCATCTTGCTAGCAGCGCCACGACTATGTCCCTTTGAGTAATTAGTATTCGTAGTTGAGGGTGATAAATTTTTTTTTAATTCAGAAGTAATAAATTATGAGAAATGATTAATAACAATTAGTATTCACTACTTACTCGGACGCCGGATGATTCGGATGAATCCATTGGGATAAACGATACATCTTACGAAGGCTCTTGCTGGACTATCTCCAATTATTGCAGCTACCTGGAATTTATACAATCTCTCCTGCAGTGTTACAACCTCAATTGTCAGTTTTCCTGGTTTCTCCACGAAATCCTCTAAGTATAGATCTATATCAGCTAGGTTGGACCTTCCATAGAAAAGAGAAGCCGTGAAGGGTGGGCACACGTAATCTTTGTCAAAAAAATTGACTACTATTGGCGACACTGAACCTTGTGTATTGGAGTAGAGTGTCATGCCATCAATATGAACCAATACTTTGATTTCGGATTCGTCGTATACTTCTGGTTGGATACTTTGCTGCAAGCCATTTTTTATTCCTAAATAAATGTAGTTCGCAATTTCCCCTGATTTTCCAGCCATAGGGAGACTTCTGATTGCACGAGAAAATCCCAGAAGTGCTGCTGCCGTTGACGGTAGCTCCAAAAAACCAGCTTTTTTTAATTTTTTCAAGAAATTGGTAACAACACATATTTTCATGTTCGTCATATTCTCGATGGACCACTCTTTCAAGATATTCTCCATAGTTAATCTCGTCTCACTAGCTGGAACATCTTGCAATGGACTCTTTATTACTGGAGATGTAGACTTCACACTCCCATCCGAAGGAGAATAAGAACAGAATTCATCGAAATCCAATGACTCGTAAAAATGAATACTCTGTGCAGGCCTAATCAAGGTCTCCAATGCACTTGTACCAACTTCTTGACTGCCATCGCGGGATAGCTGGCGTTCTCCACAGCCTTCAATAAGAACAGTAGAATCTGGAACTACATCCTGGTGCCTGGTAACGCCAAAATGTTCACATTGATAATTGTCTCCATCAGCAGTGGCAGCCTCCCTACATCCCCCTCGGTCAGCGCTGTCTCCATCCTCTTTATCACTCAATTCCTTTTGTGCTCGCAGGAATGCCATTTTCCTCTGTCTGTATGTTGAATTTTTTTTCATTCTAGACGTGGTGAAAATTGGACACGATTTTCCACTTATTCTTCTTCAACGTTTCACTTTTACATTCGAGGTTAGCCTATACATGATGGAGCGGGAGTGACCACGCGACACTCCACTATATTCGCACCACGATAGATGATATTTTGAGCCGATATTACTGACAAAATTTGTATGAAAATTTGATGATAATAAGCAATTTCAATATTTTGCTGAGTTACGAAATACATAATTTTATTGGATAATGCAAGTCTTACGAATAAATCAGTAGAGATAAATAATTAATTTTCATATAACGGAATAAACTATTTCATTTAATTGTACAATTGTTTTAATACACTCCGGTCTTTTTATTTTATGACAAAAAAAAATTACTTTATCCGAATCTTCCAATCTTGATCAGCCATACTATAGGAACCTTTGATCAAGGTTGGAAGGAACATGGACAGCCCCCGCTCAAATCACGCCATGTCTCCACGGTGGAAATAACCTTCATTCTAGTCTTGATCATCCAGTCTCGATCTCCAGCGTTGAACCAACGCTATTTCTATCGTCAAAGTGGATCTTCCCCACCTGGGGATGTACACACAAATTACATCGAACAGCGTCGAATCTCCAGATTTCATAGCATTCAAGGTTGTTTGCAAGAAAAATACCGTAATTAACATTTTATTTTTGTCTCATCCATCGTTAATCGTCGAGTTCTCCAATACATTTGGCACGACAACGGAAAGAGGTAGTTTGTTCAGAAATCATACCCACTGTATAATATGCTGTCAACATTTCAATTAATTCAGAAGTTTACTGTCATTTATACATGTCTATTCCCATTTAGAATTCTATTGAAGTGTTATCGAATGAATCCCTTCCACAAATTTCGCCAAAATTGATTCCGGCATCCGTTTTTTAATACCAGTGTAATTTCGGGCCAATCAATTTTATTCAAGATACCTCACCAGTACCATTTCTAATGTTTTTTCATATGAATACTAAAATATTGGTGGTTTCCGCAAGAACAACCACTAAAATGAAATGCAACCGTTTTCAGCTGGACAATGGTTATCACTCCCTCACAGTGTAGAGATGCATGAATGATTATCGACAGAGTGGTTATATAATTCAACAGATATGAATGTGAATTGTGGGGTAACTTCCGACATTTATTAATTTCAGCAAACTTAGTGTTGTACTCCAGGTAGGAATTACCCGTCCTTACGAAATAGACCAAGCCTGCCACAAGCCTGGTTCTGAGGTTGCCAGGCCTCGGCCTCCGTGTTTCGGCCAAAGTTTGGCCGAAGCGGGGAACCGGTAACTGACAGGTCTGCCCCAAGGTTCAGCCAAGCGTCGGTAGCCGATTAAAATGACGATAATAATATGATAATAATAATATAAGCTAATAATGATAATAATTAATAATAATTATTAAAAAATACGAATAAATTGAAATAATAATGGATATTGAATGAATATAAATAAACTTAAAAATAAACAATATAAATATAATAATCATGTAAAAGCATAGGCAGTGACATTTATTTCGACAATTTTTATTTCGAACTATATCAATGTCTCGTCGATCGGTTCTAGGGTTAGTATGCGAAGGGTTCCGAGTTCGAATCCAACCATAGGCGGAATATTTTAAGTTAAAAAGTCGGTTTTTCAAGCGTCGTTGAGTACGGATTTATGAGCGTAATAACTACTTTTGTTTTCTATCATTTTCAATAGCAATTATCAACCCGGCTGCCAT